CCCGTGCTGCCTCCTGCTGTGTGTGGTCCCCGTGCTGCCTCCTGCTGTGTGTGGTCCCCGTGCTCCTCTCCAGTGTGCTGGTGGTACCAGCCGGGCTGGGGGCTTGCAGGCTACCAGAGACAGCAGTAGCAGCTGCACATGATCACAACGAAGCCACCTCAAACAGATGATGGCAGCCAGGGGAGTTGAACTGCTGACCTTATGCTTCGTAGCCAAATGTGTACCTCACTCTGCTGCCAGGGCTCCTTTACCAGACATATGAAAAGTCCCGATGCCCTGCCAAGTTCAGTTCCATGCACACAACCCAGCAAGCACACCCGCATACATTCCATGAAAACTGCTCTTGGGCCTTGTCTATCAGGTTTCCCGAAGGGTTTAATAGATTTTTCAGGGCTTTAACGTTGGCGTATAAGGGGTCCTTGTCTCCTTGGAGTCACTGTGTATTCCAACAAGTAAGGTGCTTCTCTGCAAACCATAGGCTCATGTTTGTGTCCAATCGTGGTAATTTGGAAGCAAGGCCTGGTCATCTGCTTCCGTAAAAGTCGCCATGGGAACTCCATGGGACACAATTCCACTCTGATCTAGAGTTTCTAGGAGTGACACAAGTATGTGGAAACTGGTCCTGATGGTTATTAGTGTGGTGACCTATTGCTTTCATAGGCATGGGCAAATTGCAGATATTATGACAGCGTCACAAAACTCTCCGTAGCAGTTTTGATCAGATCTACTCCCAGGAATCTTTGATGACATAGGAAGCAATGCTTGTCTTTTATGCTTGTGAGTACTTTGAAAATTCAGTAAATAATTCACAGGACAATAATGCACGTTACCATAAACAACACAGTGTGTTTATAGTGTATAATATTTGATTAAGATAGACGCCCATATAAGGAGAACTAGAGAACAGTTTTGATCTCTCAGAAACAATAGGGGGGCAAATTCAATAAGAAAGGCTAGAAAATCCAGGGTCTGTATATGTGATTGAGGAAAATTGGTGGACAAGTTCAATTTGATACCTGAGAGTGATTTGCAGCCATTTGGGTTATCAAGTTGTATTTCATACCCATCTGTACAAAGGCACTTGTATGTTCCAAATGTATTGATGCATTGCTGGCTACAAGGAAAGCCTGAAGAACATTCATCAATGTCTACACATGTTTTACCATCATCTTTCAGTTGAAATCCAGGCCAGCACTTACACTGTGGAAAGAAATGAGAAAAATGAATTCATATCATTTTCGCTGTCTTCTACTATTGGATAACCCTTTAAAATATCTGAAGGAAAAAAAGAAAACATTTAAAATTAGATAACATTAGCTCTCTCCGATCCCTAAAATTCAACTTTAATAAGAATTGTGTATCTTTGCAGATTTGTTCCCATATTAAAAGAAAAAGAAAAGAAGCAATAACAACAATACACTCCCCCAGTTTACTGAGATTGGCAGGGTTGCAAAGGTTAATTGACTTCAGTCATGTGACTAAGAAATAAGAACGCAGAAAAGAGAGCCATGGCTTCTACTTCTTTTGCTCTTGTTCATTGCATTTTGGTCTTTTCCAAAGATTTTGACAATGAGTCTTTACATAAAGCAGTGAAAATTGTAAGTATTGTCACATACCGTATGTTATTTTATTAGATGCCTAAAGAACATCTCTACTATTGGTATTATTATCTTATTTCGTAGGGCAGGCTAGAAGCTCAGACATGGAAATTCTGAAAATAATATAGCTAGTAGAAAATCTGAGACACACTTAAATCTTGTTGTGTGTGTTGTTGTTCATGTATAATACTCTCTTTTTTACATTTATGATCATTCATTATTATATCACAGCACATGGTAAAATTCAGCTCGTGCTGTGGTATAAATTATGGTATAAATTGTGCTGCTAATTGCAAGACTGTTCAAATCATTCAGCAATTCTGTGGGAGAAAAATGAGGCTCTCTGTTTTCATAAAGATTTAGTCTTAGAAGCCCCATGGAACAATTCTTCTTTGTTCCATAGGGTTCTTAAGTTTTGAAGTAGATTTGATGGTAGCAGTTAATTATGGTTATTTTGGTTGAGCAATAGATTAGCACCTGGCTGCTAACCAAAAGTTGGTGGATCCTAGACTCACTTTGTAAGAAATAGGAATTTTCTCTCATAAAGATTAAAGCATAGAAAACCCTACAAGGGAGCCATATCTACCCTGTCACATGGAGTGGCTTGCAGCTTAAGCCTTCTTGGTTGTATCTAACAATAATGAGGCTCAATTACCATTCATAAAGTGAGTCTGATTCTATATAAAGTTTACTGTTCCTAGAGAAAAATAATACATTTTCTGTAGTTGAAAAAAAACCATGTTGCATTATTAATTAATTTTCTCCTTCAGAATCACACAATTTTTTTGACATGTTTAAACCACTGGATTGTGTGATGTGTGAACTGTATATCAGTAAAACTATTAAAAGGAAAAACAAATAAATGCCTTTTCATATAGCCCTTTGGCAAAGAATGGATATCTTCTGGCTCTTAGTACTTTTGTCTTGAACCATTTATATTGACATCTATCTACTAATCCTCAGCAATTACATGTATGTGTATGTGTTTTTAACTTCCAAAGCCCATTAGCAAATCAAACAAAGCCATAGTTTAATACTCAACTGCTCCTCATGAAAAGAGTGAAGATGGCAACTCAGGTGGACAAGCAATGCCACCTTTCTACACCAAACAAACAAACAAACAAACAAACAAAACACATGAAACAGATGTAGAAGGCAGTCCTGGGGCCTGGGACATTGAAAGGAAAAAACTAAAGTCAATGGTGGCCAGATGGAGGAAATATGCCATCAACAAAGATGCACTATTGCCATCTTGAGACAAAGCCGGCAGTAATTCCAGGAACACAGAAAGGCAACTGCACAACATCCCCAATAAGAGACAGAGAACCTGAATAAGAATACCTGGTGAGAAGCCAGGTGAGCAGAATGTAAAACAGATCCAAAGACAATGCACAGGGAGGGGTTGACATTTCAAGGGATGCTGGCAGCTATGGATTAAGAAGGTAGTTGGGTTCCTAACCACTTAGGTATGTGTACATGACGTAATAGATCCTTCATCTGACCAAACTTCAGGTAGACCGCATCCTTGCTCTTGAGTGAGGCCGCACAACTGATTGCTTATTTCAGGCCACAGGACGTACCCTCAGAAAACCTTCCCCAGTGCACCGAGGTGCACCTTCCCACTGCCCATGGTCCTGGAGACTGGAGGCATGAACACCCCTCTCCTCCTAGCCACCTAGGACTACATTTCAGCTTTCACTTTCTCCCCTCCTTCACTCCGCCCATCCATCATCTCCCATTTTTGCAGATCCAAGGAACCAGCAGCAGTCTGAAAAGTGATGTAAAGAAGAAAAGAAGAAAGAAAGAAAGAAAAAAGAGAGAGAGAGA